GCCGGGCGGCCGTTCTGAGTGAGCAGGACGGGGGGGGGGCGGCTGCTTTCCCCCAGGGAGACGGGGAAGGGTCGCCCCTTACCCGGGCGGCTGCGGGCACCATCCCCGCTCTGGCACGCACACAAAGGGCTCCGGCTCCCCCGGCCCGGCCTCCCTACCCGCCCGCCCGGCCTCGCCGAGGAGGTGCTGCTCCGGCCCCGGCCAAGAGGCTCCATCCGGCCCCGAGACGGCCGGGCCCAGCGCCGCCCCCAGCCCCGGAGGGGGCACTGCAGCAGCCCTGGCTTCGGGGGATTCGCGCGGGAGCGGAGGAGCCGGCTGGATGGCAGGCGGCGGCGGGAGGACAAGGCGGCGGCGGCGGCGGGGAGGCGGGAAGCGAAGAAGCGCTTCGGGTGGGGATTGGGGGGCGAGAGGTGGGGAAGAGCCGCGGAGGGCGAGGGTGTGTGTCGCTGCGCTGGGGTCGAGGAAATGCGGCTGCCCAGAAAACACAAACAGACAAAGGCGAGGCAGCGCCGAGACAGACTCTTAGAAAGTGTGTCGTTTTTGCAGCGCTGCCCTCTAAACCAGAAGCCTTCCCCACCCTGATCCGTGGGGAGGGTGCACTCTGCACCTGCTCAGGAACATTCTTGGGGATCCCGAAACACATGCCAAGGGCAAGGGAGCCCTAGCAGAAACTGAACACGCGAAGCTGCCTGATGCTGTGGCAGACCACTCGTCTGCCTCCTGCGGGACAGTCTCTTTCACATCACCTAGTACATGATTCGATTTAACTAGAGATGCCCGGGATTGAACCTAAAACTTTTTGCAGAGTGGATGCTCTGTCGCTGCACCCCAGGTCCCTCCCCTACACGGGAGTGTTACTAGGCCTGGTTTAAACCTGAGGCTGTGGCAGAGCTTCCCTAGGCACTTTGGCAGTGGCTCTGTGCCTTGCTGGAAGTGCTGCCAGCCACCTGTGCAAAGCAGCAGTGTGTTTAGTGTTGCACACCAGAGACTGGTATTGCAGGTACCCTGGCACGCTAACTGAACATGTCTAAGCTGCTTTGCACAGGGTAATAAGTGACACGGTTTAAAGGTGACACCAGTAAGGTTATGCAACGTGCATAAGGTTATACACAGGGCAGCTCTTTGCCTCACTGGCTTCATGTTTCACTCACACCTGGTCTGCATACACAGGGCCCGCTCACTCACTAGGCGAACTAGGCACTCGCCTAGAGCGCGCTGGCCCTTAGGGGCACCAAACTGGCACACACACACACACCCCCCCGCTGTCCTGGTTCAGCTGCAAACACTACTGAGTTTTAAACATGTTATGATCTTTCTGATGATACAAACACCAATTCCACCAAAGAACTTAACCCTCTGGGCACAGAAGGGTCACTCAGCTGAGTCAAAGAAGAATCTAAGTAGGGGGGCTATTACACAAGGACACTCAAGTTGCAACTGACTTATGGCAACCCCAGCAAGGAACTGTCAAGGCAAGTGAGAAGCAGAGATTGTTTGCGACGAGTTCCTTTCTTTGCAGAGTCTTCCTTGGTGGAAGCCAGATGTGCAAAGCAGGCAAAGTTACAAAAGCAAAAGTGAGTGTTAAGAGCATGGGTGCCAAGGGAATGGGAGGTCTGGGGTACAGATCCAATTAATGGGTCCGAGCCA